GCAAAGAGGTGTTTGCATGCTCTGCTTGGAAGGGAAACAAACCCCCAAAGATCAACAAGGGTCCCTATCACTGTAGGACACGCAATGACTCACACAGACATGGCTCCCGCATGACAGGGAAAAAACTGGTTTTATTCTTACAACTTCAGCATTTATAGATTCTCAGCAATGACCAGGGATTGGATAGTTAGGTTACCACTTTTCCAACTGCACTGGTTGTGTGAGACGTCCATCAAAAGACGTGTATCAGAAAGAATGCACACATATCTATGTTTACAGTCACTGACCTGGGCAAGTTTTAGAAACTATGTCAACAAGATCGAAAAACTGAGTTTCCAGGGCAACAAGTCCCCAAAGAGGACAAGTTGAGGCAGCATCCAGGAAGAGGCCATGGGAAACCTGGGGCAGCAGTTGACTACACAGCACCATAGATGCACTAGTCTTCTGGTTTTGTCCAGGAAAAACAAATTTTGTATGTTCATGAACAAAACAGCCCAAACAAAAGTTGTGTCTGCTCCCCAACCTTAAATGAAATATTTTGCACAGCAGCCTTCTAACAGCATCTCTGTGTGAAGGGGATGGTAGTCACTCCTCACAGCAGCACTAACCACTTCTGCCCCATGGCACCAGCAGCTCAAACAGCAAAGACTGGTGCTTCACCACAGCATCACAAAATCACCAGATCTATTAGGCTGGAAAAGATGTCAGAGATCATTGAGTCCAACCTGTGACCAAACACTCCTGTGTCAGCTAGACCATGGCACTGAGTGCCATGTCCAGTCTTTTCTTAAACACCTCCTAGGATAGATCCTCCCTGGGCAGTCCACTTCAATGCTTAATCACCTTTTCTGTGAAGAAATTCCTCCTAATGTCTAAGCTAAACCTCCTCTAGTGCAGCTTGAGGCTGTGCCCTCTCATCCTGTCACCAATTGCCTGGGACAAGAGGCTGACCCCAGCCTGGCTACACCCACTTTTCAGGTAGTTGTAGAGAGGGATAAGGTCACCTCTGAGCCTCCTTTTCTCCAGGCTAAACAACCCCAGCTCCCTCAGCTGCTCCTCCTAGGATTTACCCTGTAGACCTTTCACCAGCTCTACTGCCCTTCTCTGCGCACACTCCAGCACCTCAATGTTCTTCCTGAACTGAGAGGCCCAGAACTGGACACAGTACTCAGGCTGTGGCCTCACCAGTGCCCAAAAGGACAATCACTTCTCTAGTTCTGCTGATCACATAATTTCTCATACAAGCCAGGATGCCATTGGCCTTCTTGGCCACCTGGGCTCACTGCTGGCCACATCCACATGGGACAGGCCCTTAGCAGACTTGCTGAGCTCTCTTCCCTGTTCCCAGTGAATTAATTGACACTTGAATTACAATTAATTGCAAAGATGGTGGAAGAGTTTGTGAGCTACCCACACTGTAGCAGTGTGAGGTCCCTGGGCTGTGGCCATGTGCCCACACTTCTGACATGTCCTGTGGTCACCACAGCATTGGTCCTGCCCCACCACACTGCCTGATGCCACCAGACATGGGAGTATCACCAGTCAGAAGCGTTTCAAATCCTTCCCCTTTGCCTGCTGGGTTTTGGCAGCTGGTGTGCCCTGTACTCTGCCAGCAAGTGTTTCATATAGCCAAACGTGGCCAGAACATCTCTTTGGAAATCAAGGCATCGCAAGCCATTTGGGGACTTCTTCTTGAAAAGTATTGTCACGTCAGGAGCAGAGCAGCAGTCGGGAAGACAACTTGTTGCCTCAATTCCATTTAGACAGGGGAGTGGATGCTCCCAGGAGCCAGCTGCCGCAGGCCGTGACAACAGCCCTGGCTGCTCCCTCAGAGCCGACGGGCACTGCCCGGGTCTCAGCCGCAGGGATAGAGCACCCCGAGTGCCGGCCTACGGGGCGCGTTTTCCTCCTCTAATTCTATTTCTTTGTGTCCGAATCAGCTGGGGCTCGCTGCCGTCATCATTTCCCACTGCCGCCCTCGGTCGGTGTGTCGGGGACGGTGCCCGCAGGAGCGGCTCCTCCTGAGGGCGCAACGAGCGGCCACCAGGTGGCGCCCGAG